CGAGGGCGACAACGGCAAAAATCATCTTGAAAGATGACATCATTGATCATGGAGTATCTCTACTCCATGATGACGTCGGGTGTTCGTGGGGCTCGTCACTTTTCCCCGTAAGCAAAGGAGCCTGTTCTGTAGCTCAGTTGGTAGAGCGTTGGACTCCCGGTTGTGAGAGCCCGGGTTCGAGTCGCTTCGAAGTCCGAAGCTCGATATTTGAGACTCCTAACTGGTATGGTCTGCGGTTGGTGGAAGCAACCACAGCCAGTTGAAGTCAGTTGAGTGGGACAGGCCGTGTCCGGCTTTGAGGGGCACGTTAAACCTTGGCATCTAAATTCTCCCGTTACCTGAAATTGCGCGATCGGGCGGTAGGGGTCGGGGTCTACGCAACAACCTCTGCTTAGCGTGGGCTCCGGCTCTGTCAATCCGTCCATTCAAACATTTGAGATAAATTTATGAAAAAAAAATAGTGCGCCCACCGCCGGCTCCGCTAGCCACACTAAGTAGTTTCGGACACTGGCGGATCCGTGGGGGGAGGGGGGGCTGGGCAAGTGCCCCCGCAGCGCCCGAAATCGACGAAAACTTGCGGTTTTCGAGAATAAAACGAACACTAAACAAGTTTTATAAAGAAAAGTTTGCTTTCATCTGCCCAGCCGAGTGCGTAAGGAATCAAAATCCGATGAGTTTTTGGAATTCGGAGAAACTTTTGGGGGTATGCTCCCCGCAATTATTAGAAAAGTAATCTTGCCCCACAATGTCCTGTCTGGATCCGCCAATGGCTTCGGATATAACTTCATTGGTGTCAAATGCCACCCCTTTCCATTGCATAGTGATAGTCAATGTCGTTGTCCGACTGAAGAATCAAGCGTGACTCGTAAGTTCAGGATGCCAAGCCGGAGCAGCAGTTGCTGCCTGCTCAGCGCCATTCGGTCTGGCCGGGCACTGGGCAGTCAGTACATGACTAATTAGCCTAAGTGTCTCTTGTGACTTGTACGCATGGGTGTAGGAGCGCCAAAAATATTGGTGAAGGATGTCACCTGAACCTTATGAAAAGGGACAGGACCGTGCCAACCAACACGCACAGTGCAAGCGGGGGGGGGGGGGGGGGTTGGCGAATTTCGCCAACCCCTTGTTTTTCGCAGATATCTTACGCCCTTATCATCCCATTAACGTCAAATTTTCAATGCCTGCCTAAAATTGAATTGTGCATCTTGCCATGACAGCAAGATGTAAATCAGGGCCTCGGCTAAGGAATTTTGACTACTGGGGCAAATGGTCAAAGTGTGTTAACCCGCGCCCTGCTGGGAGGGAGGGGGGCGGAGGTTTTTGAACACCCCCCCCCTGCGGTTTTTCGCGGATATCTGAAAAACGGCGGCACCTTATCATCTATCAATTTTATACATTTTGTGAAAATTTCAGACCAGGGTCCTTCAAGGTCAGGTCACCAGGTCGCTACAAGTGACCTCACCTCATAAACACATCATAAAATGTTTCAATGTATGCCATAGCTACACCAAGTGACGGATCGCTTTAAAGCTTTCAGCAATTGATAAGTGCAACAGTATGTACAAAATTCGGAATTTTCATATCGGTGACCTAAGGTCGGGTCAATTTTGCGACCTCTCTAGGTATATAAGTCAATGGGAGAAAATTCAAAACCGTCTTTTTCGGACGAAAGTCATTCTAAACACTCTCAAACACTAAATTACAAGTAACCTTTACACACTGAACATGAAAACGGCACCCGTGACCCCTGTTTATGCCCCTAAGGTCATCTCAGGTCACGAATGGTATTAACAGTTTTTTTTTGCGATTATAACTTTTGAAAGAGGCATGCTAGAGCGATGAAAACGTCATATATATGTTCAGCTCGACGATACAGATCCACTAATATGCAACATGACAATGTCCGGTCAAATCACGACCTTGTCCAGAGGTCAATTTTTTAATTTGAACTTTCAATGTCAAATTATAGTTCATTCGATGCGTCTTGACAAGAGGAACACGATGTCGGTAAAATAAAGCTCGTGCAAGGCTTGAGTCAAAAGTTATTGCAGAAAAACTGTTCCCGAAAAATCGTCTATTTTGGCAGTTTTTGCCTCCTGCAGGCAAAACCGTTGACGTTAGGTCAAATCTGAGAGAATTACTCAGAAAGGGCGTTAATAGGGCTATCGAATGCGCTTTTCCGCGGCGCTGTAGCTCTATTGGTTCCCGAGCTATGCGTTGGCTTCTTGGAAATTGTCGACATTCGACCTGGAAATCGGCGAAATTTTGCCTTCAATGACCTCTGGTGACCTGACCTTTGACCTGACCAAAAAAGTGACCGAAGTGATGTCGTCATTATTTTTGGCGCTATTTTGGAACGCCGCCTTCCGCGTATCGCTACGTGGCCCAGGAGCCGAGTTAGAAGGGGGGTGTTCAAACACCCCCCCCCCCCCCAGCAGGGCGTGGAAATCCAGGACCCCCAGCCGGGCGCGGGTTAAAAAACAGACATTTGATCAACCGTCGAATCCAGTAGTTCTAAGCATAGGTAGGTGAAGACCCTCCCTTGCATTGTCCAAGATTGGTGAAGGATCCTTCACCAATCTGAAACTTTGGTGAAAGGTATCCTTCACCAAAGAGATACGTTGCTACACCTATGCTTGTACGTAGTTAATGCAGCATCAAAATGTGATTGCAATGGGCGTGCAGGTTTCAACTTGAAATGTTATGCCAGGCGTGCAATTTCTTAACACAGGCGTGCATTCCTACTTGCCAGGCGTGCACTCCCTTATAACTGGGCGCACCTCGGGAGTGCACGTGCCACGCTTTGCAGTCTGGGCTAGTGGCTACAATGGCTACTGAACATTACTTGGTCAGTGGTCACCATTTTACTCTGACTCAGCTGTTGCAAAATGTCATTATGTAAAGCAACTTGTGAGTGAAGTTGTAGCTCAAAGATTGTGCTTTTTTTTTTTTTGGTATTCTCACCTGGTATTCTCACCTGGTAGGGTTCACCAAGCCTGACAGCTCTAAGGATAGTCAAGGCAAGGGAACCCAGGATCAAATCAAAGGATGCGCCAGTTGAGATAAGCATACGCGAGTATAGAGGGGTTACATAGCAACTGGAGTTATAGCATCCACATAAATAGCTCATACAAAAAAATACATGTGAATCAAGAATATTTGACACGAAGTTGCTCATCATCAACTACTCCGCAGGCTGGTACAGTTTGTCATCAATCGCATCGGCCAAGGCCCTCTTAAAGCTAGTTAAGTCAGGTGCGGTCACAACGTTTTCTGGGAGGCCGTTCCAGATGAAAGGCAGGCCGTTCCAGGTGATAGGCAAACACCCTAGTTTCGGTTAGGTTTGCTTAGGCAAGGTTGGATTAGTTTGATTTAGATTAAGTTAGCTAAGGTAAGGTTAGGTCAGGTTTGGTTAGGTTCTGTAAGGTTTAATATATATGTCAGCTTTCTTCTATTGAGGTGAAGGGGGTTTCACCATCAAGACCTGTGAAGACAACAATTGGTGATAAATGATGTACTGTCCCAGTCCCAGAGGTGTTTTAGGATTGTTTTTTCCAGTGCTTTTAGGTAAGATGTTGCAGATAACTGGCAGAAACTGTTAGATAAGTGCATTATAGTGTGTTGGGATACAAATTAGCTTCATATAACTACATTTAAAATGGTAGGGGACATTAAGCGGCTCTGACCTAGGTCTCTAATATTGTGGTGCAGATTTTGCATGTAGCTGTGTGGGCCCTAACATGTTAGCATGCAAAACTGCTGTGCTGACAGAGCATGGTCCAGTAAAATGTACAGGAGACACAGTGGGCGTGGCAATGGAATGATCAACCCTCTATTGGAGTGTTTGGTTATGGGTGCAGGGTGCTAGTGTAATCGCGACACCAATCCTCTATCATTTGGAAAAAATAAGGCCATATTCTGAAAGAGCACTCTGTTTTTAGCTGGTGAAAGGAAAGAAACCATCACTGCTTACAATACTTTGGTATGAGGCAATAATCATTTCACATTCCACCTTCCAAGCTAAGGATCCATGTTTTAAGACAATAAATGCTTATGCACACCTACTGGTTGCTCTACTTTTTGATCAGTTTTTCCTGGGGACGCTGATAAATGATTGTGATTGTTGTATTTTTGCCCTTGTTTTGTTTAAAATTATTCATTTGTGCATCTCTGTTAGGTTGGGACAGGCGAGGACAAGCCACCCAGAAGTCAACTCCACCATCTATCATCTGACCATAAATTTTGGAGATTGATGTATTGTAGGTATTATTTCAAATCGGCTACAGACACTGGCTATGATGCTGATGCAGATGACAGTCCTCTTGGGCCGAAATTTGACTTTTTTTTTGCGTATTCTGCAGAAATATTACCCAAATGATTTGATTGTCTACCTATCAGCTTAGTAACAGAGCTATGCCGTTTTCATATGTTGTGTCTTTTTCGTATGCAAGCGAGATGCTTTAGATTAATTGATATACTAAGAGTAAGACAATGTGGCGCTGTCTTGAGGTCAAAGCCATGCAAATTGCAATGTCAAGTTGCATTGTAAAGGAAGGACGTTTTACGGATTCAGCTCAGTCAATATAATGCTTTCTTTTAAAGTCGTTTGGATCAGAATGGTTGCCATATTGCGGTGCAGCAGTAAAACTGAGGATAGAATCTGCTGCTGTCTCAGCGGAGCGCGGGTTAAACAGAGGGCATAGTCTACCAGTCACTCAGCGGGGCACAGGTTACACAGAGAGGACAAAATATGTCTCTCCCAACAGAGAGGACAGGATATGCCTCGCCCGGTATGTCATGGGTGAAACAGAGACACAATCTGCCATTCATTTTGTGGGGTGCCGATTAAAGAGGACGAAATCTCCTGCCGCTATCCTGTCTTTCAGTTGTCTACATTTGGCGGAATATTCGATTGGGGCGCAGTTTAGATTTTCGCTAAGCCATGTACAATGTGCATTTGCAGTTTGCACTAAACCTTTTTTCATAAAAGTTGATAACATATGTGTGACTTGCATAAACAACTATATTTACAAGGTACTTGATGCAAACACATAAATATGATTATCACTTGATGTTATGTCGGAGGGTATCTGTCACCTTTCGCAAAATAGCGTCAACGCTCAACACCCTTCCCATCTCTATCCTTATTTTAGGCCATGTATGGTCCGACATGCTGCGGCTGACACGAAACGTAGCTTACGAACACCTCCAAAATGTCACCAGTTTGCTCCACTATCAAGCCATCTCAGTCATCCTCTTCATCACGATCTTCGTCGTCGTCATCCCTCTGACTATCCAGATCGTCCTGATCGGGCTCCTCGTCGGCGGGTCGCTCCTTGGCCTCTCGCTCTGCCAGCAGTCGCTCCTCCTCCCGCTGCGGGTACAGCTCTGCCGCCTCCTGGCGCTCCTCCTCCTCGACGGGGTCCTTGTCAATCCTCTGCAGCCGCCGGCCGTACACCAGCGCGTCCACGCTGCCGACAGATAGATAATGGTCGTCCACACAGTCAGACGGGTGAGGTGATAAGCATGGGCAAGACAACGTGGCGAGACGCTTTTGCGCTACATCGCAAGCATGATGTGATGGAAACGATGAAAACAAAATATGCTTCCGTTTTCTCGGTTGCTTAGTTGTTTTAAATTACTGTCGGTGTCTGGTGATCAACCGAACAACCATTAACACAAATGTGGAATGCTGCAACATGCTGAAATTGAGTATCGCACTAAAGCGAACAGCTCCGTTTGTGGTAACTTTACAGTTTACTTACCGGTACGAGTCAGAGTCGGAGACAGCGTTGTCGGCGATGACCAGCGTTGTCAGCTTCTTCATGCGACTGAGGTGGTACACCTCCTCCACCTCTTCCAGGTTGTTGCTGCGGACGTTAAGGTACTCGAGCGTCTCGTGGTCCTCCTCCAGACCCTTCAGCGAGCTGATGCGGTTGTCTCTCAGGTGCAGACGACTCAGAGAAGTCAGCCGGCTCACCCCGGAGAGGTTACGCAGCTTGTTTCCCGCCGCGTACAGTGTTTTCAGGGTGCGGTGCTCCAGGCCGTCCAGCTTCTTCAGCGCGTTGTTGGTGATGTTTAAGTGGATGAGGTTAGGAAGGTTCTCTGTAGTCATGTCCTCAAGATTCTCCAGCTGGGTTTTGGAAAGAATGAGCTTCTCGAGAGAATGCTGCTTGATGCCTTTCGTGCTTTTTAGAGGGTTACCGGTGAGGTCGAGAAACTGAAGAAACGGGAAGTTGGACATCTGGGGTGATGTGAGCTTATTGTTCGTCACCTTCAATGACACGAGGAATCGCATGTTCTGAAGAGCGAAGAGCGAGGTGAGCTTGTTGAACGACAAGTCGACGTACCGCAGGTGAATATACGTTGACAAAATAAACACATTAGTCAGCTCGCGGTTCTGGACGACCAGTTTGACGTACGCCACTTCCAGTCCATCGCCTGTCTTACATAGCATCGATATGCCACCTTTGATCATTTCTGCAGTCAGAGGGGTTTCTTGAGGCAGCACTTTCGGCTCTGGTCTCTTCTCGCCATCCCCGGCTTCGAAGCCGCCGCTGCCATCGCTGCCCTTCTCTCCAGCATCTGGCTCTTCTTCGGGGCCTTCTTCATTGTTTTCGTTGTCTTCTTCATCGCCTAGCTCAGTGTCGAGATCGTCGTCTAAATCCGGATCTTCATCTGATTCAGACATAGCTGGTTTTGTGAACGGTTAGATATAGGTAGGCAAACTACAGGTGCTTGTGGGAAACTATGGGAGGCTAATCTTGCACGAAGATCCACTTTCTATTGATGTTTAAAAAAGCTGCGATCTTGTCTGATGCAAACTGATCTAAAACACTTGTCCATTCGCAGCTCAGTTAAAAAATTAACACAGTGAAAGGGCTGTTTTTTTTTTTGGCTTTGATGAGATGAAATAAATAAGTTTTAGGGCCTCGAGATGAACGGCAATATTCCCAATAATTAAAGCGAAAATCAAAGGCCTGTGAAAATTACTCATACGAGCATCACGTGCTCCAAAACCTAACGCATCCCTCGCTGAACAGTGAACATGATGAACGGTCGTATGTAATCCATCCATATCATGTAAGGTGGCATGTCCACATGTTTGAACATTATTTATTGTAGCAAATACTAGGGTTACCCGCGTGCTCCGCAACGCGAAGGGGGGATTTTTTGACCCGTGGGTATTGGGTTGGTCTGTGTCGATTTGGTTGGTAGATATCCATTTCGTTCGATTGCTTTTTGACGGCCAAGCATTTTGTAAGAAAACAAAAAGATACATCGCATCGAGGTGCCCGTGTCGTATTATCATGCGTTCTACTTTAGAATGATTCGAAAACTGGCGTGAAGTCTTTTGAGGGCCATCGATGAATTTCGCTAAAAATGACAATGTAATGGTTTGGAACATTTACATTTTTAAGGATACTGTTGCTAATCATGCAAAAATGAAGAGTGAATATTGGACAGAATTGAATGCTCTATCCAATGGTACCATATTCAATTGCCAAAGGTATCAGGTTATGCAGCAAACCCCGTGTGATTAATAAAGTGGCACAAAATTGACAAACACCATTTTCTCCTGTGATTTGCACCACCTTGGTTTGGATCAATCAGCTTTTCACAATTTTTATATGAGAGGCGGTACCTTTCTCTTGCCAACAGGCGTTGTTCCAACTCGCTCCGTTTAACGGTCACCTAAAAATAAAATCAATTCCAAAATCCGTCCAAAACGTCAATTTTCCACATAAAAGTGCCCTCCTCGGTGCACGTGGCGCGTGCCATCCTCTGCATCGTACACCATTCGATAGCCCGTTCAATTATCTACACGATGCTGTTTTTCCTGTGCCGGTCGGACCGCTGGTCACCAAGATATTGCACGGTGACCGGACCCGTGTCGGCCAAAATTTGCCGTTTTCGCCCGATTTCGCACGCCGATTTATACATGTAAAGTCAATGACGCGAATTTGCACTTTTTGGGCACGCGCCACGCGCTCCCTATCAATCCGATCGAGCTGAGACCCCTCAAAGGCACGTCGCGCATCCTTGATCTATAAGTTGTGCAACTTTCACCGGGCTAGGTGCAACGGTCTGGCCTGTAGTCCACGCAAAGCACCACCAAGTCGGGACCTCGGTAACGGACAGACGCACCCTCCTCAAATAGTAATATAGATATAGTCTTATGATCCTTCAAAATGTACCATTAATTGATCAACTGACTCGTCTCAGTGGGATGAAAGACTTTCAACGCCGTGTGCGATTAAACGTGAATAGCGATGAGTATCGACATTAGACTGTGTTTGCCTTGATTGCCTTTTGACGGTACCTACCTTTTTGTGTCTTTCAGGCTAGGTCAAACAATTGAAGATGAGTGCCCAAACGATGCAGAAAGGAACCTTTTCATCGGTAAGTTCCATTTTTTACCAAGTTTTCTTGCCGTCTCTTTTTCTTGCGCCATATTCTAACTTGCGGTCTTTTTTATGTCGTCATGTTCTGCCGTTTGCCGTAAGAATGCGACATCCAACAAAGTCAAACGAAAGTATTTTATCTTTTTCTTTTGCCACGTGCTGCGAACTAGACAATTTAAGGGGTGTCATTGTCTTAATTCTTACCGTGAACATTAGGAATGACTGCTGAGTGCATTTATTGGTCATTACGTCTTTGTCATTTTTTTCAGGACAGTGATGTACACGTTACACGTGAGGACCAAAGCAAGATCAACAAGTTTGCGAGACTCAACGCTAAACTGCAGGACCTTCAGGATGAAATCAAAGACAAAGAGGTGTGAAAAGTCGTCTAACCAGGCTTATGAGACTATAATATAGGATGCCTATTTGCCTGTTATCTCGGCATATTGGACAGCTTTTGTTAAAGATGCCGCCTGTCTGACATCTACCACATCCTTCCTTCATGAAAAAATACCGACATCCATTTGTGTTCCGAACAATTGTAGGGTTAGACTTTGTTTTCCAGCGTGCAATGTATGTGCGTCGGGTTGATTTAGGGATATACCGCTAATTAAAATCTACCTTCAAGTCAGCCAACACTATCATGCTGCGTAACAATCATCGATCGATATCTTCACGAACTGTTTCATCTATTCGCAATTCGTTTAAGCTGCACCATTTTCCAACTTATTTCCCGATATCCGTATCTCGATCTGTATGCATCGTGTGCATTGTCTTGCGACATATTTAATTTAGCCCTGCTTTCTCAGGACGTATATTAACCCGCGCCCCACTGGGGGGGGGGCTATTTATAGCCCCCCCTCCCGTTTTTCTGCAATAACTTCCAAACCGCTTGACGTATCGACGCCAAACTTTCAGTACCTTCGGCTGCATCAATTTGACACCTTGTGTCAAAATTTTAACTTCGTAGCTACCATAGGTCGGCCGGAAATGACGTCAGAGTGACGTCATGTTCGGCCGATTTCGACGCAAAACATTGAACCACGGCAATCGCTCCCAAGAGCTCAGTTTTTAAGCTAGATCCAATTTCTTTGCATGACAGGACTCAGAATAGACTGCGCTATCAAACTGCTATCTCGGATTTTCGAAATTTTGAAAATTTCGAAAATTTGATATAATGAAATCCAAAATTTATATTTTTACATTTTTTTCAAAAAGTTTTTGACTTTTCGAAAAAACCGGAATACATGTGATAGAACGCATTATTATGACTAACTCTAGCAAGTTTTAGCTAAATATCTTCAAAAATGGCCAAGTTTTACGCATTATTGCAAAAAATTCACAATTATTAATTTTTCAAATCAATTTTTCAGCACGTATTTGACATCGTACGCCAATATAAATAGCACCATCGTGTTCCTGAGCTCAAACTGCATCCAATAGACACCTTTTTTGTTGAAAAAATTTAACTTCAAAATTTGACCTTTTTTGACCTGAAAGTGACCTGACCTAAGGTAAATTCGACTCAAAATGACCTCGAATGACACAGACGACATCACATTCGAAATCTCTGGCCTAAATGGACCATAAAACATGTGTCACGTGACCGACGCATGATATAATATTTTCGTGACCTGTGATGACCTGACCTTGACCTGAAAATCAAAGTACAAGTTTGGTACCCTCGAGGTATCTAGAGCATCTGTTCACGAGTGTGTGATCCAAAAATGAGCCTGATCTGACTTGTAAGACGGCGACCAGAGCCCAAAACGTGAACAAGCAAAATGCTAATAATTTTTACTTTGACCTGACCTGTGACGTCATCGGTGACCTCGAGGTCAATGAAATTAGGTTTCGTTCGACAGTTTTTCCGGGGCTATCAGACGCCGTTTGAATTTTGACGATCGGCCCAGTAGTTTCTGAGTTAGGAGGGGGGGCTATGAATAGCCCCCCCCCCCCAGTAGGGCGTGTTATACGCAGACCCCAGTGGGGCGCGGGTTAATCTGAGATAAATAACTTCCGCATTTATCGAAGTCACATATTATCTTGTTGGAATCAATGATGAGAGGCCATACGATTCTCCTGAACAAATCGCGTCTTGCTTCAGAAGCTCACAGCGCTGGGCGGGAGGTGGCTGTTGCCTTTATGGTTGTTCATCTTTAAACTGTTCCCATATCCATTCCGTCATCACGTATATTTATGTGGGGTTGTTGCAGAACCTGATGAAGAACCTGGACGACGCGAGTGACGAGCTGCTGATGGTGGATGACGAGGAGGAGCCGGTGCCGTTCATGGTGGCGGACGTCTTCTTCCATACGCCCCTCGAGGAGACCAAGGTAGATAAGGGAGATAAGGAGGATAAGGGGAGGTGACGTCTACTTCCACACGCTGTTCGAGGAAACCAAGATAAAGTAGGGACTGCTCAGGGGGAGATGGCGTCTTCTTCTATACACTGCTCTAGAAGACCAATGTAGGTAAGGGAGAACAGAGAAGATGACGTCTTCTTCCACACAACGCTCGAAGAGACCAAGGTAGCGCAGGGAGAATAAGGGGAGATGACGTCTTCCTACACACGCCGCTCGAGGAAGCCAAAGTAGGAAGAAGGGCGGAAATCCCAAGGTGGGGTGCAGCGGGAATCTATAAGGAGTGAAAAAAGATGGAAAGCGGCAGGATTAAGCAGACGGAAGACAGGGGGATAGGGCGACTCACGTCAAGTGACCTCACCTCAGAAAATGTTTCAATCCTCGTCAGAGCTACAGCGGCTGAACGATCGCCTTGAAACTTTCAGCGATTGATAAGAGTAACAGTATGTACTCTACTCGGATATCGATATAGAGTACATCGGGGGGGGGGGGGTGTTTAGACACCCCCCCCCCCCGGCCCAGCGCGGAAGTCGTGGAGCACCGGCCCGGCGCGGGTTAACAAGATTCGTCAAAAGGAAACATGTTTAGAATCTGTTGCTTTGTCGCGTATGTACAAAACAATATTAACAAGATTCGTCAAAAGGAAACATGTTTAGAATCTGTCGGTCTGTCGCGTATTCGCGTACTCATAATTTTAATGAAATAGTTGTTGTCTCATAAATGAATTAAACGCGTACATCAAAACCAAACATTGGCATTTATGAGTAAAATTTGAACCTACCTTTACCTAGTGCCATTCTCAAGCATTGCACCGAGACTGACTAGGGAGATGCCCACCTCTGCCCACGTGACACTCCCACGTCCTTGACAGGCGAAGCTGGAGACGCTGAAGGACGAGCTGACACGGCAGATGGAGGAACTGAACAGCAAGGGCAGCCGCTTCAAGGAGGAGATGGCGCTGCTGAAGCGAGACCTGTACGCCAAGTTCGGCGACAACATCAACCTGGAGCCGGACGAAGACTAGGCGTCAGTCGAGCTGTCATCCGCGGGTGGGGTTAGGATGATCCGCTGAGACTGGGTGGGATGAGAGCTGGCGTGACCGAGTGGCAGTGTTCGTGTCCAGTGATCATTGCCGTCTGTTTGAGACTGGACTGTCTAACCGCTCAGAGTTTGTAATGTGTGCTGCGCTGTCGGAAGCTGCTTGGGAGTGCGTT